AGAGAGAGAGAGAGAGAGAGGGGCAGGGGGGAGAGAGAGTAATACTAATAGGCAGAGTCTCACGAGCCGATGAGGGTTTTTGTTCACCTACCCCATTACACTGTGACACTGCACACTACACATCCACTACACACTACAAACGACACACTACACACACACTACACACTACACACACACTACACATCCACTACACACTACACACGACACACTACACACACACTACACACTACACACACACTACACACGACACACTACACACACACTACACACTACACACACACTACACACACACTACACACCCACACTACACACCCACACTACACACCCACACTACACACTACACACTACACACCCACACTACACACTGCACACTACACATACACTACACACTACACACCACATACCCACACTACACACTACACACACTACACACACTACACACACTACACACACTACACACACTACACACACTACACACACTACACACACTACACACACTACACATCACATACCCACACTACACACTACACACTACACACACACTACGCACTACACACACACACAACACACAAACTACACACTACACACACACGACACACACACTACACTACACACTAAACATACACTAAACACTACACATCCACACTACACAGTACTACACACTACACACACACTACACAGACACTACAAACACACACACTACACACTACACACCATATACCCACACTACACACTACACACACACACTACACACACATTACACTGTGATACGGCACACTGCACACCCACGCTACACACTACACATCCACCCTACACACATACTACAGACTACACACACACACACTACATACATACACACACACACACACACACACACACACTACACACACACACACTACACACACACACTACACACCCACACAACACACTACACACCACATACCCACACTACACACTGCACACCCACACTACACACTACACACACACTACATCCTACACACCACATACCCACACTACACACTACACACACACACACACACACTACACACTACACACCCACACTACACACCACACACACACACTACACACACACTACACACACTACACACTACGCACTACACACCCACACTACACTACACTCTACACCCACACTACACACTACACACACACACTACACACCCACACTACACACTACACACTACATACCTACACTACACACTACACACACACCACACACTACACACACACACACTACACACTACTCACCTCCACCAGCGTGTCGCGAGAGTTGAGGAGCATGGTGTTCACCTGACCCATGACCTTATCCATGGCTGTGTCTGCGGGCAGGAAGGCGGTCATTGGGCGTTTGGAGTGTGTACTTAGGTTGTTCCGCAGCTCAGGGAATTCCTTGGTTATCAGTGTCTTTAGTCGGCTGAAAAATGATGATGATGATGATGACGATGATGATGATGATGATGATGATGATGATGATGATGATAATGGTGATGATTTCTATTATCATTATTATTAT